ATCCCTCCCTCCCGCGGCCGATTTGCCGTCCCTAATCTTTGCCCTCACCGCCCTAACCCAGCCCCCTGTTACCACCTCTCCTCCAGTGTTACCTCCTCCTCCCGAAGTCCCAGCCCCCTCTACCTCGTTATCCCTCCCTCCCGCGGCCGATTTGCCGTCCCTAATCTCTGCCCTCACCGCCCTAACCCAGCCCCCTGTTACCACCTCTCCTCCAGTGTTACCTCCTCCTCCCGAAGTCCCGGCCCCCTCTACCTCGTTATCCCTCCCTCCCGCGGCCGATTTGCCGTCCATAATCTCTGCCCTCACCGCCCTAACCCAGCCCCCTGTTACCACCTCTCCCCCAGTGTTACCTCCTCCTCCCGAAGTCCCGGCCCCCTCTACCTCGTTATCCCTCCCTCCCGCGGCCGATTTGCCGACCACACCCCCCGCCTACGTTGCTTTGCCACAGCCCCTTGTTCCTATCCCTCCAACCCCTTCCTCGGCGACCCTTGACGCACCTCCGTCCAATGACCTATCAACTTCAATCTCCGCCCTTTTCACTGCGGTCACTTCCCTGGTTAATTCCGCAATCCCCGCGTCGCCTCCCATCGATGTACCTCCTCCTCCTCCTCCCGAGCCTTTGACTCCTCCCTTGTCTCACGTTAATTTCCTCGAGTCTTCCGATCCAATCTCTGCCCTTGCCCATGTCCTGAATACCCACCTCTCACGGCCAGCCCCGCCGTCCCCCATGGTGGCTCCTTCCACGGCTTTAGTTCCCCGTGCCCCTTCCGCCAGCACCAGCTACCCAATCATGGTGGTTGGGTCCGAGGTGTCTGCGACCTCGGACCAGCCCTATGCGATGGGTGCCTCCCCCCAAGCCTCGGGTTTCCACCCAATTACCTCTCCTATCACCCCCTTCCCAGTTGCCCCCGCTACAGCTACCCCTGAGGCTATTCTTCACCGTGGTACAATAGTGCCCGAGGAGGTCGTTATGGTGGACCAGAGCCAACCCCAACTGGGGGGGGAAAGGCTTCCCCAACGGCACTCACTTCCCCAGGGGTATACTCAGATCAACCATGGGGCGGATGGTGCACCACCTATGTACGTTACTTTTAACCCTTCCCAAGCCGCTACCCTTGTAACTTCACTCCCTGATCCTGAGAAGCACCCCATGCCCTTTTTCCGCAGGGTGGCTCAAATCCGTAAGACATATTCTGCTGCATGGCGGGACCTTATTAGTTTATGTGAAATTAAGGCCGGAGATGCATACTGGCCAATCATGGAACGGAGCTTTAGTGATGCTCCACTTACTTCTGATACTGATTTCCATTCTGGTGAAATTTTCTGTGAACAACTTCGTGCCTGGGTGCAGGATAAACTAGCTGACCAGGCTACTTGCATTAATGATATAATCCAAGACAAACTTGAGACCGTTGAAAAGTACCATTCTAGGTTGACTCAGACATTCTCGGACTTAGGGTTCAGTACTTACAACAAGGCACACACCCAGATGCTCTCTGCAGCTTTCGTGGCAGGACTGAGAGAACACATTCGCAAGGGGTTAATTTTAGCTCACCCTGAGTATAGAATTATTCCACTAGACACTCTTTTGTTAGTAGCCAAGGGCCTAGAATCTGTTTTACAACCCACACAGCGCAGGGCTAGCCCACTGATGTACACGGTCCCCACACCTATCGCTAGTTCTAATCAGGTCCCTCAGGTATTCCCCCAACAGTACACTCAATCACCCCACGCACTGCCTGCACCAATCCCTTTTCCCCGGGACCGGACCATTATGACAATCCGGACCTGTTTTAATTGCAATCAGCCAGGCCACTTCAGAAGAGATTGCCCACAGCCTAGGGTGTTCCGCCAGCCTAGTCCCCGGTACCAAGGTCCCCATGTCACCGGCCATAACTACCCTTCCCCTGGTTACCTCCCCGCCCTTCCCCATCCACATTTGCCTCAGCTTCCTCCTCCTCCTCCTCCTCCTCCTGAATACACTCAAGCACGGCCCCCTGTATCAGAAGCTCGCACGTATACTCCACACTCTGCAGAAGGGTTTGATAATGATGATTTCCAAGACGGCCAACCCCGTCCTACCCTCCGCCCATCCCGCCCTCCCATGCATTCTGCTAACCCCCCTTCTACTTCCCGCCGGTACCAGGGACCAGACCAGGCCCATTTAGATTTATTACAATAGGTAACCGGCAAGCCTGTGTCAGCAACCCCTGCCATGGCAGTGTCTGCGGGGGATGGGGGGGGCCCTCTAGCTACTGTTGTTCTCCCTGTGGAGGGCCACCCCACCACTTTCCTGGTTGACACAGGTGCAGCCCGTAGTGTCCTTAGGGAACAAGACCTGCCTGACCCCTCTTTCTTATCTGACACTGATGTTTCCTGTGTTGGGGTGGATGGTACCCCACGCAGCAACCCCCTTACTAAGCTCCTACATGTAGGTTCACACATCCTCTCACGCTTTGTGGTTTCATCTACTTGCCCCATTAACCTCCTAGGTGCCGATGTTCTCTCTCGCCTCCAGGCCTCCATTACCTTCACTGCAGATGGGCAGATTGAGTTGACAACTCCCTTATCACAAAAAGATACCTCTGTCCTCTGTTCACTCCCTATTTTGTTAAACCTAACTGACAACTCAGGGGATGCATGGGTCCCACAAACCCCCAGTGCTCTGGACCGTATCCCACCTGATCTTTGGTCCACCGGCCCGGATGATATTGGACGTTTGCATGTGCCCCCGGTCTTGGTTCAGCTCCTGCCCGGGGCACAGCCTCCTCGCAGACCACAATACCCTCTAAAGCCTGCACAAGCTGAAGCCATTACCAGACAAGTTGAAAGTCTCCTTACCAAAGGTGCCCTCATCAAGTGTTCGTCTCCATGCAATACTCCACTTTTTCCTGTTAAAAAGAGAACTGTTAAAGGTCAACCTGACCAATATCGTATGGTACAAGATCTCCGTGCTGTGAATGATGTGACCATCAAAGACACTGCCATTGTTCCTAACCCCCACACCCTCTTATCCCAAGTCCCATCAACTTCAACAATATTCTCTGTGGTGGATCTAGCTAATGCCTTCTTCAGTGTCCCCCTTGACCCTTCATGTCGTTTCCTCTTTGCCTTCACCCATGAAGGACAGCAATACACCTGGACTGTCATGCCTCAGGGGGCTCAGAATTCCCCCACACAATTTGCACACGCCATGTCACTGGTGTTGGAACCCTGGCAACAATCTCATTTGGATGTCGTCCTGCTTCAATATGTTGATGATCTCCTTCTCTGTGCTCCTGATTTACTCACTGCGGAGCGTGATTCAGAAGACCTCCTATGTTTTCTTGCTGCTGCTGGTTGCAAAGCCTCCAAATCCAAGTTACAATGGTGCCGGCCCTCTGTGGTCTTCTTGGGAAACTGCCTTTCCCATGGCACCAAACATCTCACCTCCCAACGTGTACAAGCCATTCTGCTCCTTCCACTACCTGCTACCCACCAAGCTCTCCATGCTTTCCTGGGTCTAATCACGTACTGCAGATCCTGGATACCCGAAGCATCAAAACTCATGCAGCCACTCTATGATGCCCTCAGGAGCGAACCTTTCCATCTCACAGAAGAAACTATCATCTGTTTACGCACTCTGAAAAGAGCTATTGCTTCTGCACCTGCCTTGGGCCTACCGAACTACCAACTTCCCTTCAACCTTTTTGTCTCTGAAAAATCAGGACATGCTTCCGGAGTCCTCACCCAAAAACATGGCTCAAGACAACGCCCTATTGGCTATTTTTCCTGCATGCTTGACCCTGTTGCAAGGGGTAGCCCCTCTTGCCTCCGAGCGGTGTTCGCCGCCAGTGCTCTCCTGGACAAGACCAATGACTTTGTTCTTGGCCATCACCTACAGACATCCTTACTCCTACCTGACAATGTGAAACTCCAGAGATGCCTTTCCCTGAACCCAGCCACTCTTCTGCCACTTCCCAAGGGGGGAATAGTGCATCACTGGTACAGCCTGGACATCAACCCAGAGGTCCGAGCAGATTTACAATTGCCTGTGTTTACACCTTTCCCTGATGATGAACAATCAGAGGCCCTACTCCACTGTGTCTTGTGGTTTAGGGACACACCAAACCCTGACGTGGACTATGAGGAAGAACTATTTCAGCTCAAAGACATCCAAATTACCTTGACTGACTTGTTTTGGGACTCCACAGGTACCATGCTCATTCTGGTACATCTTCCAGACAATGCAGTACACCTCTACCACCATTGGGAAACAGCTATCCCACACATACCTCTCACCAGATCCCACGACATCACATGGGAGACCCTAGGGCCGAAGGCCAAAACTTGGAACCAAATGACTCCAGAACAACTGACTTCTGCAGGAATAAATAAAAAGACAATTAACTACTACACAACAGGACACTCCAGGTACCACATAGAGGCCTGTGAGGACCCACCCACCATAGACTGCGACCTTATTAATATCCCTCACGACTGTTTTGAACAAATGAAAATGGAAACTACACACCTACCAACTGTTTATGAAGCTGCATTACTCAACCCGGATCAGACACTATTTGTGGATGGCTCAAGGTTTGCTGACAAACAAGGACAATACCACACTGGATATGCAGTTACCACAGGATGTCAAATATTACAAGCAGCTGCCCTACAACCAACTAAATCTGCCCAAGAGGCCGAGTTAATAGCCTTGACTGTGGCCTGCAAACTGTCCGAAGGCCTACGAGTCAACATTTATACGGACTCAAGATATGCCCTGGGAGTGGCACACGATTTTGGCTTAATCTGGAAGACCAGAGGATTCCTTACAGCTACCGGTACCCCAGTAAAGCATGGGGCAGCCATTGCAGAACTGATGGACGCATTGGAACTCCCAGCAGAAGTGGCAGTATTGAAAGTAAAAGCTCATGGAAGATTAGACACAGAAGAAGCACGTGGCAATAGCCTGGCTGATCAGGCAGCCAAAGAGGCAGCACGACAATGGGAAGTGGACAGAAGAGTGGCCACAGATGCATTACCAATTTATACTATGCAAACATTGCCTACAGACCTCAGGCTGCTGAAGGAACAGCAAGTTGCTGCCACTCCTCAGGAGAAACAGAGTTGGAAGAACAAAGGAGCAGTACTCCGTGATGAAGTTTACACTATTAATCTCAAGTTCTGTCTACCTAGAAGTATGTACCCAGCGGTGGTCCAATGGGCCCATGGGCCAGCCCACCTATCAAAGCTCCTGATGAATTCACTGATTGACAAGTATTTTGAAGCACCAGGCATCACCACCTTAACACAGAATTATTGCAAATCTTGTACTATATGTGCTAAGTGCAACCCTGGAAAGATCATAAAGACTGCACCTAATCATCTAGCCAAGCCACAATACCCCTTTCAGAGGATTCAGATTGACCATATTCAGATGCCAAAGAGCGGATGCCATGAATATGCACTGGTCATAGTGGACATGTTTTCAGGATGGCCAGAGGCCTTCCCAGTGACTAACCTCACCGCGAGGACAACAGCCAAGTATCTCTTGACAGAAATTGTTTGCCGTTACGGGGTTCCAGAAGTAATTGAGAGTGACCAAGGAACCTCCTTCACTGCCTCGCTAACACGGGAAGTCTGGTCAGCACTGGGGGTGACCCTTGCATTCCACACTCCATATCACCCACAGAGTAGTGGTAAGGTAGAGCGCATGAACGGCACTCTGAAAGCCAGAATGCTTAAAATGTCACAAGAAACTAACATGCCTTGGCCCGAGAGTCTCCCATTAGCATTGTTTAGTGTAAGGTACACTCCTAGGGGAAAATACAGCCTGTCACCTTATGAAATTTTGTTTGGCACAGCACCTAGGTTAGGTTGTTACTTTCCCCAACAACTTCAGATCCAGTCAGATGCTATGGTAGATTATGTGACAGCCCTCTCACATGCCTTGACCAAGATACATGCACAAGTGTTTTCTTCTATTCCAGATCCTGAGTCGAACACAGGTACACACAAGCTGCTTCCAGGTGACTGGGTTATGGTTAAGAAGTTTCTCAGAAAACACACCCTGGAACCGAGATTTGATGGTCCTTACCAAGTGCTCCTGATTACAGCAACGTCAGTTAAACTAGCTGGGAAGAGTTCTTGGATACACGCTTCACATTGCAAAAAAGTGCCTGCTCCAGAAGAGTCTGATCCTGTTGAAAAATGAATTTATTATGTGTCTTGTGTTTTCTTATGCTGCTACATTTTGCATGGGCCCAACAAGTGGCCATAACCAAAGATAACCATGTTTACACTTTTTGGTACAATTCTTCTAATACTGATGTGGCTACATACACCTTTGACTATTGTGACATAGTTACTTGTACATTTCCACAAACACAACATGCAGCTGTATATAAGGACATACCTAACAAAAAGGATCCATACATTTGTGTGACTGGCGAAGGTTGGGGACACCATTGTAGTTCATGGAAAGCTGCCGGGTGGAACACAGGTAGACCATGGGGCTACAGACCCCAAGTTGCATTAGACAAGCTTGACAAAGACGAGAAACCCTTGCTCTCTAGAATGACCCTGAGTAAACCCATAGGGTCAACTCCCATTAAACTCACCTTAAACATAGAACACCCTAGTCCAAGGGATGCAGGGGAGTATGTGATGGGAATGTACTGGAAGGGAGGTGGCTCACATAACGCATTAGGGACCTTTTACTTACAAGATATGCTAAATTCCTCTGATTGGGTGGGAACCACACATATGGTCATTAACCCATTGAAACCACACATCAAAACCCTACATGACATGGTAGCCATAGCCAACCCCACCTTTGAAGATACCATGGCAGTAGAAACAGGGTTTTCAGATACCAATTTATGGCTAGAATGGATGAGGTACAACGCCAACTCACACAATAAGACCAATTGTTATGTATGCGGAGGTGCCAGACCCCATCTGGGTACAGTACCTCTGAGTTTACCTCCGGAAATAGAATTATGTGTACTGAGTTTATATGCACAATCCACCACTAACTCCTCAACATGTGAATCCTGGAAGAAGATTTACCCAATCACTCACGGACATGTGAAACCACCCGATGGAGTCACCATCTACCCAGGTAATTACACATGCTATTCAATACCAGAAAACACTGGTTCGTATCTGGGCAAATTCCCATCAGGATACTGCTCAACTTACCATAGTCCACCTGTATCACTGCTAATGAATCACACAAAGACAATCGGTGATATCTATTGGTTATGTGGTGACAAACAATTAAGGCCCCAATTAGCTGGCCAATGGTGGGGGGAGTGTGCCCTAACCAAAGTCATAATGCCTATCCACATCATTCCAGATGGTGACCATAACACGCTTAACCTCACACATATACACTCTAGAACCAAACGAGAGACCCCTATTCGAGGGAGTTTCGACCCCCATGTGTATATTGATGCCATAGGTGTGCCAAGGGGGGTGCCTAACGAATTTAAAGCAAGAGATGAAGTGGCTGCAGGGTTTGAGTCCCTAATCCCAATGATAACTGCTAACAAGAATGTCAATTGGATTAACTATATCTATTATAATCAGCAACGCTTTGTCAACTACACAAGGGATGCCCTACAGGGCCTGGCAGAGCAACTACAAGCCACTACCCAAATGACATTTCAGAACAGAATGGCCCTAGATATGATTCTAGCCGAAAAAGGGGGAGTATGTAAAATCCTCCCTGAGACCATGACATGCTGCACATACATTCCAGACAACACGGGGCCCAATGGTAAAGTGACTATGGCCATAGAAAAGCTAGATAGTCTTGCAGACGAATTAAAGAAGAATTCGGGAGCCACTGACATATGGGACAAATGGTTTGGGTGGATGAATGGCTGGCAAAAGACCCTCTTTCAGGTAGGGACAGCTGTTCTCATGGTATTCATTATCTTTTTGTTCTCAGCCTGTTGTATACTCCCCTGTATACAGAAATATCTGCAGAAAGCGGTAGATAAGACTGTAGATAATGTGACCCCTACCTTCATACATCAGGATATCACAGACCTTGAAGATGACACCCCACATACACCCCTACAAACACATCAGTTTAAACAGACAACTGCTTTTTTGTAGGGATAGAGTAGGGAAAGCGTCTGTCTTGACAGGTGAGTCTCACGTGTGGAGATGTAGTGGGTTAGCCACTGCGGGATACCCGCGGAGTGAAGTGTTCGATGCTTGTCAAGGCAGATAGGTTGCGGGCAACTAGGGACATATTAGGGACAGCAGCAGTTGTAATGGTAAATAGCCATTTTAGGGGGGACTGTTGTGGAAATAAGGTCTACACATATTTCCTGGTTAAAGGAAAATGTCTATTTACTCATTTTACAATATATCTATATATCTCACATATAAAGCTAAGTACACATATTTCAATCAAGATGGCTGCTAGAAGCTTCTAACCCCTCCTTCCCCTCCCTTTTTAAACATCGACTAACTACCTCGTGTAACAAGATGGCGCCGGAAAACCGTGGGAGACCCTCATGGTCCCGGTGACATCACCTGCAGTAGGCAGAGCATTAGAGCAACCACTTAACACCTAACCAATTATTGATGTATTATTCCATGTTATCTCTGACAATGCATATGATGTAATTTTGCTTTAAAAGGGACTTGCCGTCCCCTCTGAATAAACTTTCCTCAAGTTATTCAACAACCTAGAACCTGTGTCTGGTGTGAATTACTTCAGGGAGCGTGCACGCATAGTTTCATTGATTTGGCCAGGGGCAGATACACAAAGAAATAATCAATACTTTAATTGATTTTTCCACTTCATCCAGTCATTAGTATTGGTTTATGCATGCATTTCTCATCAAAATGGAGAAGATGCATAACCATTTAAGGACGGTGGCAACTGTCCATGTCCTTAACCAAAACAAAACCTTGAATTTGAGCTATAGGTTTGTTCCACCATAATTTAAGAGTTTCTCTTCAAGTACCCCCATACATATTATATATTATTTTTTTAAAGGACAGAAAGTGCTGTCACTTAACATTATATATATATATATATTTTTTTTCTAAAGTGTTTTGCTTACAACAAACTTTACACATCCAGAGCAACTAATTAAAAAGAGCTCAAAATAGATTCATATATCTGTCCTTATTGTTAAATGCTTAATGTCTTTAGGATCTAAATTCATTTTTGATAGTTAATGCTAATTTTATACCAACCCCCACACTGATGCTACACCAACCATACAGCTTACCCAATGCTTGCACTTACTCTAACCATATGCCTATCATAATTGTACCCTTACCCTCAACCTTACACTATCTTAAAACAGCATTAACCCAAACACAACATTTCTCTTACCTTACCCTAATCCTAGCCCTACAGCTAACATAGAAACATAAAATGTGACTGCAGATAAGAACTATTCAGCCCATCTAGTCTGTCCAATTTTGTAAATACTTTCATTAGTCCCTGGCCTTATCTTATAGTTAGGATAGCCTTATGCATATCCCACGCATGCTTAAACTCCTTTACTGTGTTAACCTCTACCACTTCAACTGGAAGGCTATTCCATGCATCCACTACCCTCTCAGTAAAGTAATACTTCCTGATATTATTTTTAAACCTTTGCCCTTTTATTTTAAGACTATGTCCTATTGTTGTGGTAGTTTTCCTTCTTTTAAATATAGTCTCCTCCTTTACTATGTTGATCCCCTTTATGTATTTAAATGTTTCTATCATATCCCCCCGCCTCGTCTTTCCTCCATGCTATACATGTTAAGATCCTTTAACCTTTCCTGGTAAGTTTTATCCTGCAATCCATGAACCAGTTTAGTAGCCCTTCTCTGAACTCTCTCTAAGGTATCAATATCCTTCTGGAGATACGGTCTCCAGTACTGCGTACAATACTCCAAGAGAGGTCTCACCAGTGTTCTGTACAATGGCATGAGCACTTTCCTGCTGATCTATTACATTGTCTGCCTACCTTTAAGTCATCTGAAATAATCACCCCTAAATCCCTTTCCTCAGATGCTGAGGTAAGGACTCTATCAAATATTCTGTACTCTGCCCTTGGGTTTTTATGTCCAAGATGCATTATCTTGCACTTCTCCACATTAAATGTCAGCTGCCTCAACTAACCTTAACCCAACAGTAAGTGTAGTCCTACTATTCTCTTACCACTAAATATGCATTGGCTATGGAGACTCATCCATAGGGGCACCAGTTTTTATGTGGGAAAAAGTGTATTTGCAGTAGTTTAGAAACACTAAGATTCTTTTTCTGGAGGAGAGGGTGTTAAGTCAAAACATATGGCAAAAAAATAGTGTAATATATAACTTCCACCTAATCACCCGTGGAAAATATCAATTTAAACTTAGCTTTTTGGATACTTGCTTCCCTTAAGTTACCTCCCAACTTGGTAACCATATAAAACTATTACAAAATACAAATCGACCAGGGATCCAGCTTGTATCACTAGAATGTAAACATAAAATGCAACATAGTGTAATAAAGTTACAATTTAAATATTCAATTCATGTTTCAGCGTTGCACTCACAAATTGATGATTTTTATCAAGCCCTCAGGTTGCCTCCCCTATGGTTAGGGGGGTTCCTCTTGTTGTTCGGTTACCACGCCAATTCCAGAGTTAGGAAGTCCACACACTCCCAATGGTTAGTAAAAAAAGGAATTTTTTGGCTTTTAAGTATAAAAAAATTAAATAATAAAATACTATTACTGGGAGACGAAACGCGTAGGAACGCACAGCCATCTTAACCAAGCCGCAGTGGAACGCACGGAAGTGTGCCGAACCGGAAGTAAAGTCCGGAAAGAAAATTTCAGCGCGAAAAGAAGATTGAACGGAATGAACACAGCTTGGACCCCTTTCAACTGTCGATAGGAAGCCCAATTACAAGAGGGCTATGTACCAACGCCCACCACACCACCAATAGACTCCCAGCTCGAGTATATTTAAGGGTTTGAGGGGAAGGGGAAATAGGCTCATTTGTACATTTGTTGATTTTTTGGCAGTGTATGTAATTGTATGTTTTAACTATAGTGATTTAATATTTGTTCCCTGAGGAAGTTTCCTAAGGGAGACAAAACGCGTAGGACCAGTAATAGTATTTTATTATTTTATTTTTTTAATACTTTAAAGCCAATAAATTCCTTTTTTTACTAACCATTGGGAGTGTGTGGACTTCCTAATTCTGGAATTGGCGTTGTAACGGATCACCTGGCATCCCAACTGGGTACCTCTGTTGAAGGATGCTCCTAGCGATTACAGAGGGCTCCAAGCGCTCCGCCAGACACCACAACCACCGTAGACCCCACGAACCACCGCAGCGTGGTTGGGGTCTTGCCATCTCCTACCCACCCTGGACCTACGACAAGGCTCCAGGATCCAGTGGGTGAACCTCTCCTCCAAGAGAGTGAAGCAGGAACAAGCTCTTAAAAGAGCTTAGTAGTGATTCGCTAAGGGAGTATGCAGAGCATAGCAATCCCTTGTAGTGATATAGCAATTCCCCCAATAAGAGACAGGACTCTAGATTGAGGGTGAAGTAGAACTGACTGTACTGGCACATACAGCCTCTTTTATTCACAATCCACAAACATAGTACTGCCCACAGCATTTTGAAATACAACCAATCAATCCGTACAATACACACAGACACTCCCACACAAAATCCTCCCCTGTGATATGATTATTGAACACAATGGTTAATATAATTATCACAGGCAGAGAAATACAGTATTATAAAATATATCACAGGGACCCCAAAACATGCAATAACCCCATAGAAGTATATCCTCGGAACCGGGGGATCTGGGTGAACCACATATCCAAAATTCACCCAGATCCGTTCTGTAGTTTGGAAGACACAGTTTAATGCAGATTCCACAGAACATATACAGGCTATATGAAAAATAATTACTGTATAATGTGTCCCCTGTTGTATAGTTTAAAACTACTGCACGATGTCTTTGTGCACCAAATACCTGTGAGATGGCACCGTGTAGAAAAGTCCAAACAGTGTCTGTGAGTTAAAATGGCCGCCATCCATTGTCCTCACCATGTGCTTCATCCATTGTTCTCACCATGTGCCTCTGATACATGAAATGGTGGCCACCCAGTAACTCCACAGTATGTCCCCAGATGGTTCTTAAAGGGCCAGCAGCAGCATAATCAGTTCCTAGAAGGGCAAAACATCCCAGGGCCATAGTCGCAGGGCAGGAGGCTGGCAAACAGGCCCCTCCAAAAACCAGTGACGAGGTCACTTTTGCCACAGTGTGGTAACCGAACAACAGGAGGAACCTCCCTAACCATAGGGGAGGCAACCTGAGGGCTTGATAAAATCAATTTGTGAGTGCAAGCTTGAAACATGAAGTGAATATTTAAATTTTAACCTTATTACAATTTATGTTTGCATTCTATTTATGTTTGCATTTTATGTTTACATTCTAGTGATACAAGCTGGATCCCTGGTCGATTTGTATTTGTAAAAAAAAATAGTGTATCTTTATTCTGTAATAGGTTTCATTTCATCTCTCCCCTCCTTGGTAGCTATATGGAGGAGCTTATTTGAGAGCATCTAAGCATTTCAAAATAATGGGGCTGGTTTGAAATCTGCCGTTTCAGCATATTTTGCACATGCCTATTGTCGTTTATGAAGGGATTTCATGAATTTCCATTGAGTTGCCATTTAGGAAGCAGAGCCAGCTGACCATTAGTGGAGGCATGCTATTGGCCTCTCTACTCTATTCAGGAGCCATCATTGCACAAGTGGGTGGAATTACAGTGCCCACAGGAGAGAGATTTGGGAGTAACACTGAGAGAGCACAAACAAATTATAGTTCTCTTCATTATCCAATGCTGTAAGAGCATAGTGAGAATTGTAGTAAGATTGAGCATGGTGAACCTGCAGATAATAATAATAACAAAGTATTTAACCAGGAAAGGTACATTCAGATTGCTCTGGTTTCCAAGTACGTCTGGAGATGTTACTATTACCCAATTTAATGGCACTCATTTTATCTACCTCGAAAGGATGAAGGGCTGAGTTGACCCTGCTGGAATTTGAACATGCGATATTGAATGCCATTGATCACTGGAATGATTGCATGCTCTGTGTAGAGTAAGGACATGGTGTAATATTGCTGTTTAGTAAACTATGAACTATAGGAATTAACCTGGGAACAGAACATTGATGACTTGGAGATATGTTTTTAGTTTGTCTATTTAGTACTAAAATATGAAAGTGAAATACCCTGGTCAACAGGGAACAATTCACAGTTTAGTGGAAGCAGTGCATTACAATTCCAAGCCTGTTCATTCAATGCTTTATGAACGTGATAACACTTTTAGACATGAATTTCCGTTTTGTTTTATATCTTTTTGACACCAGTTGATCACTTGGAGCTTCTGAGACACAACTTCCATAAGCACTGACTGGAATCTAATTTAGCGTGATAAAAGTTTAGTTCACAGCTACTTTATTGCAATAATTTTCAGTAAAACAGTAATAAATATAAAATGTTAAAAAGAAGTACAAAATGCTACAATCACCTGGTGTAGGTCACCCAAACCACACAAAAATAGTGAATTAAAAATACAAAATGTTGTTAAAGCACACTAGTGGTGTAGATAAAATAACATACACATGCAAAATTACCATAAATAGGAAGAAACCTAAAAAGACAAAAAATGGTAGACCATAGTGAAATCAGTGTATATAGAATAAAAAGATATATAAATACAAATTGGTCTCACTCACATATTGCTGAGCCTGCTAAAATGGGCTCAGACTTAAAGCGCCTTGGAACAAATAAGGTTGTTCAGATCAGGTACTGATAATTTTTGGTGGATTTACACAAGTAAAATAAACAAAGACCCTGATTAAGCATGATAAGAGTTACATAATACAATCTTATGTTGTCATTTTATTTACCTTGTCACTTTGGTGAAAGCACTTGTGCATTTGTGAGGACCAGATATGTAAGTATGGTATGGGTATTTCACTCAAAATCTACTTGCTGTATTCCAAAATGTGCAGTTACCTCAATAGCTCTGATGATTGCAGAATTTTGTTAGATGGAAAAAAAAATCCAGTGTACTGGAAAATATATACGTAATATAAATATTATGGTGCATTCCCGCCATTTGGCTCAAGTGAGAAACATCAACCAGCAGAGGGAAAACAAAGAGGAGCAATAATAATTCTATATTTATATGTTATATTTTTTTTCCTGCTCCACCTTTTTTCCCTCTGTTGATCACTTCTTAATTGATTTTTGAAATCCCCTAGCAATCAATCATCTTTTTACATATCAATCATTTATTTCTGAGCCTGGAGCTCCTGCTATGTGACAGGGGACCTGGGGCAGCAAGGGACCCAGCCAGTTGCGAGAGCAGCAGATCACCTAAACCGACCCACAATAGTTTTTCAGAGCTAATTATCTGTATAATGCAGCTGGACGAGGTGCATCAGCAATAACCTTCCCCAGTGTAGCATGACTTCAAATAGTTCCTATGTGAAAGATCTGTGTGGGTGTGGCAGGCATAGGAACATGCCCCATAGCTCCGCCCCCACACAAAGAAACAACACCACATGGGAACTAATGAAGAGTCTGCTATCAGGACTGGAAGAAGAGGAGAGGCAGCAGGACCATCCTGTATGGCAATACTCAGCACAAATTAAAGGCAAGACTAACAAGTGGGAGAGGAGAACACTGGGTGGGTGTAGGGAAGAGTCTGTGGGGCTGATAGAGGGGAAGATCAGCCCAGACTTTCTGTGACTGTTCAATCACAGACTTCCCAATGCAGCTCAATGATAAGACTTTCAAAGTAGGTGCTCTGGGCCATTGCTGCCTCGTGAATTTAGCTCCACTGATCTAAATAAATCAGAAACTAACAGAACCAGTTGCTTGATTGACAGCCAGTTGGGGAGTAACAAGGTTAATTTATAAAAGCGATAATTTAATTTAAAATCTGCACTTTTTTTAAATGAAAAAAAAAGGGGAACACTCTTCACACATAGAGCAATTTACCAAGCTAAAGTGATTTAGGGCTCTAGGGTGTCCCTTTTAGTGTTGTACTAAAAATAATCCATTGAAATGTGGCCACACCAAACTCTTTGAATGTCGGGGGAGTGAGTAATGATTTGTTTTGCAATGTGAGGCAAATTCCTATGGCATTGAAAGGATTCATGAGCAGACATATTATCCCCATAGCTTATGAATAATATGTTTGAGGTTAGACTATTTACAATGCTACTCCTAATTCATCCAGTAGCAGCTGATAGAGGACGGTTAGGACATACCGATGAAAGTGGAATTTTTACTTCCTGGTGTCCGTTTACATCTGTTTCAATGATTCATTAAACTCTTTATATGCAACTGCTCTTCTAAATATGCCAGATTAAATTCTACTAGCATGTTTATACATACACTGGTATATTGATGGACTAGTAGAACATGGAATTAGTAAAAGCATTACTTCATTATTCATATGAATGCCTATTGGTTCTTATAGAATAAAATGTTTGTGTTGTCCATGGTCCAGCTATGTCTATGGAATTCTATGTGTAGTTTACCATATCTTCTTCTACACAGAGAGAGAGAGAATAGATCATGTAAATTATGTATGTATGCATTATTATGTATGTTATTATTGGAAATATGTGTATATGTATGAACTTAACTAAATAAAACTTTATTAAACACATAATACAAATAATTTAGTGTCTATTACAATCATGCATCAGTATCAAATTGTTAATGTTGTTTTCTGACTTTTAGCCAGAATCACATAACAGCCTGGATTTCATATACCTCAACATGCAGAACCTAGATGAGCCTGCCCTTCTCAGAAGGTATGTAAAGAAGAATAAGATAGACATGCATTACTGTTCTTTAAGGTAACCAATGTTTATAGAAAGACAAAACACACCAGAGAAGTGGTGAATATGTCACAAGCAAGTCTTGGTCCGAAATTCCAGAAAACAACAACGTAATGAAGTTTGGATTGTTACCAACTACTCAGGAATTCTCTCTTGGCTCATAGAAACCACTGCAGAGCATAGAACCATCAATCCTATACAGTAACATTATTATTGTGATGCCAGAATGTGAGGCATTTTTGCCATGATAGCTATATGTTGACACATACCCCGAGAAGTGCCAATGGGCAACAACTAGTGGCAGAATTGCCATCCAATTGATGCACTACATCTTGTTGCATGGAACAAGGGCACAGATTTGATTTAAGTACTGTGACATTATCCCGCTTTGAAGACCACCCAGTCTGTGGGAACCACTAGACCACTCAGGTTGACAAGCAGGGCAAGCTTTTACTAAGTGGACATTAGAAGCAGACAACCATGATCTTACTTCTGGGCCGAAATACTTCCAATAGACCTGATACTGCAGTCTTCACCTAGAACAGTGGTCAATGATACAGTGCACCACATCTTCCTCATTAATAATGACAGGAGAAAGAGGTAGAATGTGTTATGACAGCTTGTGTGGTCCAGCACGTAGAACTATGTAACATCTACATAGATAGAACAGAAAAGGATAGAACGTAAACCGGGCCTTAGAATGGCCGGACTATTACGTTAAAGACAGAGAATAGTCAAGGGATAGCCGAAGGTCAAGGAAGCCTGAAACACACAATATCGTTAAACAAGCCAAGTCAGGGAAACCAGAAATCAGAATAGTCAGGAATAGCCAAGGTCAAAATACCGGGAATATCAAAGACAGGACAAGAAAACGCGCTCTCGGGAACCAGGAACGGAAACCACGACAGGGCAATGAACTAGGGAATTTCAGGGATTTAAATATCCCTCCTTTGACTGTGATTGGCCAGAGGGTGACCTCTGACCCCAGAACATGTGTGTGCGTCAACGTTGTGACATCAAAGGCACGTTCGTGTGACCCTTGGCGCCATCTTGAATCCGGGTAGGCGGCCAGGAGAACCCAGTGCGACCGCACCTCGGGCGAGCCGGGGGCCGTGACAGAATGTCATAAGTTTAGGGTTCAACTAGGAAGTATAAAACACATCAGGGATGATGTACAGATTTTATCTGTTGAAGAACATGTAAAGGGTACATGACACAGGGTTATCATTCAAGAAAATGAAAGTAAAACAAGGATTAGTTAGATTAAAAACAAAGGTAGGACGGTATGTAGAAGAGGATAAAGATCTAGCTGACTGCCTCAATTAATATTTTTGTTCAGTATTTACAGGTGAAAATGAAGGAGTGGGACTTCAGTTAGGAAAAAGAACAAATTAGTAATTTGTTACATGTGAGTTTACAGAGTCAAAGGTTCTATTTCAACTGTCAAAAGTAAAGACAAATAAGTTGATGGGGCCTGATGGGATACACCCAAAGTTATTAAAATAACTTAGTAGTATACTGGCAAAATGATTTATGGATTTATTTAACCAATCATTGTTAACAGGTGTAGTCCCAGAGGACTGGAAATTAGCAATTCGCAAAAAAGATAGTAGGGAGGAGTTGGGCAACTATAGGCCAGTAAGCCTTACTTCAGTAGTGGGGAAAGTGATGGAAACCATGTTAAAGGATAGGATTGTTGAACATCTAAAAAAGAACATATGTCCAGTACTTGATACAGTACGCCGTACTGGAGACTATATATTGATACTTTGGACAGAGTTTCCGAGAAGAGTTACAAAACTTGTTTATGGATTGCAGGGTTAAATTTACCACAAAAGCTTAAAGGATCTTAACATGTATAGCTTGGAGGAAAGACGAGACAGGGGGGATATCATAGAAACATTTAAATACATAAAGGGAATCAACACAGTAAAGGAGGAGAGTATATTTAAAAAAAGAAAAACTACCACAATAAGTGTACATAAGAGTAAATCATAGGGGCAAAGATTTAAAAATAATATCAGGAAGTATTACTTTACCAGTAGGGTGGTGGATGCATGGGATAGCCTTCCAGCTGAAATGGTAGAGATTAACACAGAGTGGGAGCGTAAGCATGCATGGAATAGCCATAAAGCTATCCTAGATAAAAGATAGGGTTAGGGACTAATGAAAGTATTTAAAAAATTGGGCAGTCTAGATGGGCCGAATGGTTCTTATCTGTCGTCACATTCTATGTTTCTAGGTTTTTTTATCTTCAGAAAATATCGAAAATAGATCATAAATTTTCTATTAAATTATTGGATTCTATGATCTCTAAGTGCTCATTAGGGATGTGCATGGGGAAAATAATCGGTTCGGTTCGGCATTCCAAAATTCGGGACTTTGGCACTTCGGGACTTTGGCACTTCAGTTCGGTTCGGCACTTTGGAACTTTAACACTTCAGAACTTCGGTACTTCGGCACTTCTCATGACTCATGACAACACCCTGTCAGTCTCTTCATTTACCTGTCAGAGCACTCTGATTGGATGGCTTAAACCAACCAACCAGAGTGCTCTGAGCCTTATTGCAGGGCAGGGCAAGGCTTTATAAGCCTTCCCCCACTCTGCGGATCTCAGTCTGCGCGGTGCCCTCCATGGGTAAAGATGGATTATTTTTTCAGCGTCTGGTTTTTTTTATTCAGTCTGATTTTTTTTGCGCTCAGGTTTTTTATTTATTTTTTCAAGTGCGACGGATATTATGGGTTTTTATTTGGTCTTTTTTGGGGCTGACAAAAGAAGTTTTTAGAAAAAATAAGACATCAAATGGTAAGTTTTATTTTTTTTTTACAGGTACTTATTCTTTGTTCCACCCTCATTATTTTAGGGTGAGGGGGGTAGGTAGGGATCGAAAAAAAAATTTGGGGAGGGGGAAAGTAGGCGATTGGCGACCCCTAGTCACCTGGGGGGGTAACATTTTTATTTAGGGCCCCCACCTGCAGCTCAGGGGTGGGGGCCGGGGGGTGGACAATAGGTCCCCCCCTTTATTTTACTTTAGGGCCCCAACCGCCGCTCAGGGGTGAGAACAATAGGTCCAATTTAGGTCTTCCAGCCTTTTGGTAGATAGCTCCCTAATACCGTGGGAATAGGGAGTTATCTATGTACTCATCCCCATCCATTGACTGTAATGGAAGTAACTTACATTTTATATGAATGTGGGTTACTTGATTGTTGTAAGTGTTGCAAATGCTTACAGCTGAATCCTGGCTATGTTTGTATACATTTTATTTAAACTGGTATACAGTGTAACATTCTTCATTCTTCCATTTCAGCACTTCGACACTTCGGAACTTCGCAACTTCGGAATTTCGGCACGTCTCCACTTAGGAACTTCGGAGCTTCAGAACTTCGTCACTTCGGAACTTCGGCACTTCGGAAATCCGGCAATTCAGCTATTCGGACATTCCGAAGTGTCCGAATGTCTGAATTGCCCAAAATTAGTCCGAATTAACATTTGGAATGAAACAAATTGCACATGTCTAGTGCTCATGCCATTGTACAGAACAACCTTACTTGGAGTATTGTACACAGTATTGGAGACCCTATCTTCAGAAAGATATAGATACTTTAGAAAGAGTTCAAAGAAGGGCTACTAAACTGGTTCAGGGATTACAGGATAAAACTTACAAGGAAAGGTTAAAGGATCTTAACATGTATAGCTTGGAGGAAGGACAAGCCAGGAGTGATATGACAGAAACATTTAAATACATAAAGGGAATCAACACAGTGAAGGAAGAGACTATATTTAAAAGGAGAAAAACTGGG